AGAATATTGGACATATAACGAGTATTCTCAATTGTTTTTCGAAAGTATTTTTCAGAATGTCTCGAGATGAAAATTACATGTTCGCCACTGGATCGCGTTTGGTCCGAGCTTTTCAACTGATCATTTTTTTTACCATATTTCTGATTAATAAGTCAGACAGTATTGTTCAAAGTAATTCGATCATTAGCTTTGATACGTATATGAAGTAGAGGTTTTAGAACAGTTTAATTGCAATCGTTATGAATAATATTTATTGAGATGCAACATTTGGTATATTGATGCGTGATACTGGTCATCCATTTGATTATAATTAAATTACCATACTTTTTACTTAATCAACTTATCTTTCTTCATTCTCTATATTAAACTAAATAAAATACGTTTAATATAAATAAGTTATGTACTGGAAACATTTCGCATAATTTGGTATTATCTTGACTACTGTCTATTTCAGAACAAGAGACCTGATCATTACTGACTGATTTGTCATCGTGTGGAGTAAATCTATGGAAACATACGTTATCGGCTACGCTGAATCTCGTGATAATATAAATTCGAAAACTCAGCAATAACCTATACAAGGCGAAATAATCCAGTTTCGCCTACTTTTATGGAAAACTAAAAAATTCATAATTCACTAAAAACCGATTCAGACTACTTCGAAACATCAGGAAAGGCTCTACTTTACCTAGAGGAATAAGTCCCATGCTGACTGTTATAGAAAATACAGTTGCAGAATTTATCTGTAATGTATAATTATACCATGCACTTTTCACTTATACAAGATAAATATATGTCAACGTGATGTGTTTTATTCGCGAAACTATCCATATATTATGTGATTCTAAGCCTTAGAGTCCAACTGCTAGCAGAAAATTTGGATATATTAAGGCTTAATATATCCAAATTTTCTGCTAGCAGTTGGACGAGCAATGGTATGAGAGCGACGCATTATAACGGCAGGATCCCATCAGATACAGTCATACAATAAACTAACAGTATTTTTACTAAAATAATCGGCGTAAAATTTTCTACAAAAACATATTGACTGGTTCATTGCAAAATGTGAAAGTGGGACGTTATACGACAAATACGGAGAAGCTCTCGAATGGTCAACTTTTTAAATCAAAAACAAAACAGTTTTCCTGGTTTATCGTTCTAACCTGCTTAATCATAAACTCGAATTTTAGTTTTAAATGAAGATACAGGGATCAGCTGCATTAGGCTACATCTGCTAATGTTATTGAGTGTGCTCTTACTTCTCATATATAACAAGGTTCTTCTGAAGCGAATTTTTCGTCCAAAGAGTAACTTTATTGAAATCCTCTAAAAAACAGCGAAATTTTCATCTTTTCAATAACTATGTGAGTTACAAAGTTGACTATTTGAGAGCTTCTCAGTATTTGTCGTATAACGTCCTACCCTTTCACATTTTACAACGAACCAGTCGGTATGTATTTGTAGAGAATTTTACACCGATTCTTTAAGTAAAAAAGCTGCTACGAATAAACCTTGATAGAGATAGGAGCTAAATATAAAATGGCTCATTCTTCATGGGGCACCTGTTAATATGACCATTTTTTATTTTAGTAAATCCATATGTCCTCATATTCTGCTCTGTTTGTATTTTACAACACAGCATAATAGATTTAATCAGTGGACATGAGCTATAACGGTAAAAACGTATTACCGTTATCGTTCTCTTAATATAGACTGACAAGAATTTTACAGTCGATCTATTAACTCCGAAGTGATATCAACAAAAAACTCCACTGCATTTCGTTTGATTTTACCAACTAAATCATATTCAAATGATTATTCTCTCACTAAAGAAAATCCATAGCTTGTGGATTTCTTTTCATGGTGTATTTGTATGAAACCAGCTGTTCTTTCTTTAATCAACATCAAGCTAAGTTCATGTGTTCGAATCTCTATTCGTACAAAATTGATTTTGTGTTCTTCGTTAGTTTTCGTTTAGAATACTATAATGAAATATTTTGTCTGCTTGTATCCTGAAAAGAATAAAGCTTATATCAATCAACATCTAAAGCTTTTTTCCTCATTTTGATCGAAAAAGGGAGTTGTTATTTTTTGATAATTCGTTAATTTTTATTATTACCAAGGAAAAGAAAAATGTGTGAATAATAGTAATAGCCTCGTGTTTAATGACTAAAACAAACAAACGTCGGTTATATTCTATATGTCCGAATGATAGATGATTCGTCCTTGTACATATAATTTTCTTTTTTTTCTTTCTTTTCTTTTGCTGGACAATACATGCACTCACATTCAAAAGATTAAGAATGAACGTCGTCCGTCGGCCTTGAACCCATCATTTCTTCATCATTTCATTGTTCTACTAAGTGTACAATGTACAACAAGAGAGAGAGAGAGAGATGTTAGAAAGGGCGGCCGACTCCTTTCTTTCATTTGAACTATTCAATTGAACTACGTGTATACCATCACACCGCTTTTCTAAGAACTTCTCCACCCACCCACTCGCATCAAAAGTGAGGTTTGTAAAATTGTTTTTATTGTTATTATAGTATAAATTAAATTCATACCTGCGGACATTTCAGATCAAGCATGGATGTAGTATTCGAATGTGATGTAATGTAAAGCTTTCGTAGCAAGACAACTAAAATGTCGCAGACAGATCAATAGCCAACCGTATAAGGATTAATCTAATCTCTCTTATTAACAGATTGCTGTATCCGCATGCACTGCTACCAGCCCTTGAGGTCATAATGACCCGATGTATCAAGGGATCTTGTACTGTTGAACAGCAGATGCTAATAAAAAAAAAAATTTTGCTACATTTCAAACGGCTGTCCAATACTCCTGATGCGCTTTCATCTATCTCAAGTAACTTTCTTCGTATTCGCTAAATTTCTGTTATGATAACAAATCTGAAGGTCTACACATGCTGTGAAAATAAGTATATTTTTTCAGTTTGTTTTCTTATAACTGATCTTCTACGGGTCAATATTGCACAATGGACTGTTTTATCACAAATATCTCTTGCATACCGACATTAACGAATATGTACGGGTTCAATGTCTCTATAGTGGCGATGAAAATGAGAATTTGCTTCTCCAGAAAAAAGATTTTCATCCCTTCATATAGTGAGATGTTGTTAACTCATCCAGGTGAAATTCATCTTGCAGGATCATACAAAATTTGTCATTTTCTTATGAAATCTTGTGATAATCCAATTTCTTATAAGATCTTATTTCAAGATCGTGTCGAATTTGGTGCTATCATACAAGTATGATAAAGAGTTCAACACTCTCATTCACAAGATTTTGTAAGATCTTGCAAGAAGTAATGACGCATTGTTACCGCATAAATTTTGCTACGATATATAGTATACAACATCGCCCTTCCCATGTGCTTAATACCGACGGTTACCAGGAGGTATAACACCATAGTAAATGAAAATACCGGCGGTAACCACACGGTATGTCACTGTATACCGGCGGTATCATCTGGTATTTTGTCATTATGAACACGTAGAACAGGCGTTCGAAACTAATTTCAACTTTCTTCTTTTTATTGTTGAGCACTAGTAATCGCAGAGAGGCTCCCGCTTAAGAGAAATTTGACCCGAGTTAAAGTTCAAACTGCGACGAGTCTATATGAGCTAAAAGAAAAGTTTAATCTGAAGAAGAAATTAAGTTTCTCGAATTTTTCTGTTTCTTTTGTATCATCATGGAAACAAAATACAATGGTGAATGGCTAAAAACGGTTACCATGCGGTATTTTCTTAGATCGTGGTCTAATAAATTACCGTGGGTTAACCGCGCGGTATACCGACGGTATTTTAAAAAAGCTCAATATGCACGGGTTCTGACAAAACTCAAACTTTTCTTCTGTCTTTAACTTGACACATCAGCTGAGTACCAACAATGTTCATGGCTATTAAGGAAGATAGACAAACACGATCCTAAGGACGTCAGAGTCCTACCTATATGCTAGAAAATCTTATGAAAAGAAAAATGCCTTTTAAGGAGAGTCTATAGCGGAAATCTATAGGATAGAATCACAGACATAATCTTGTAAGATTTAATGAATTTTTACAATATCTTAACATAAATTTTTGCAAGATCTTGTGAAATTCGGCTACAAGAGAAATCTTATGTGAAATCAGGTGGACTGATTTATAGGGAATGTTGTAGAATTTTCACAAGATCTTGTATGATTATGTGAAGCCTTATAAAATCTTATGATATGATCTTGTAGGATCACACAAGATCATTTGTCAAGATTTGATGATCTGGGCAAATCATACCTTTTTCGTAGAGAACGTAACTCTTGATGCTTTTTGAAGATATTACAAGTTACTTGAAACTATTTAATTCTTTTTCAATGAAAATTGAAATTTTCGGTGAGAGGTTAGGCGTTAATGACATTTTCGTGCTCATTTCTCTTTTAATCAACGATTTACTCGATGAAACGAGACGGAAACGAGACGAAAAGGTGTCGTTATTTTACGTTTTACACAACTAAGAAACGACAAAATTATCGAGAATGATATGCACAAAAGCGTCTTACCGCATTTGTTTAATGCTACCATTTTTATTTAGATCAAATTAACCATAAATGCCATTTGTTATTAAATAAATCTTTCGAACTACCTTTAAAATCCGACTGTTTTCGACAAGCTAATAATATTTTTATAATCATAATTTTCTTTTGTCTCTCTAGTGCATGAGCCTTTTAGTAATTTGTCAAAGCATATCACCAATTTCTTAGACGTTTAGAAGTATCCCTCGCCAAAAACAGAAAATCTTCTGAGTTATTGAGCGTGTTGGATACTTTTCAGCAACTCAAAATCAACTTTATTTTTTTTCTTCCGGTGATATGGAACAATACTTTCACTTCAAACTTGAATAAACAAGCTCAGTGTGCTCATGTGCTTTCTAGATTTTAATTTCAATATTGTTGATTTTATTCTAAAAAAATGTATTTTATCCACAAATAAACCTATTTAGCTTGCAATGTCATCAACGGTAGTGGTAAGTCATTCTTTTACACACTCAACGTAGTTTCATGTGAATTCTCTCTTCAGCCCAAATTGACAATCATTACAAAACGTGAGCGATCTATTTCGCCCATACCTGAATCAATCAGTCCACCTCAAATTGAAACTTCTCCAAAACGAACACGACGACGTCACTCGTCATCTGCTACTTCGACATCAGCTTCTACAATATCTCACACAAATACATCTACAACAGACGGTGGTGATGAGGTGAAAATATTCACATCGTCAGCTGTAAGTGAAACAAATGGACAAACTACAGATGATGACGATATCGATGTAGATGGAATTGATGATAGATTATCACCGGTCGTTGTTGAACCAGTATGTATTCTGATACAAAACATTTTTAGAATGTTTTTGATAGTAATTACTGAGATTAGAGTTGATTGCTGAACCTTTCCTTCATTTCAGACGAGTCCGGTTAAAACCGCAACAGATACTTTGAACAGTGATACACCCTCATCTATTCATCCATCATTTCCAAATGGTTATGGTGGTTTTTTTCCATATTTTCCAATGTTTCCTTATTTTAATGGATACCATCCTTCATCACAAATGCCACTCACATCCACGAGTAATAGTAACACAAATCAACCACATTTCGTATGTAGATAGAAATCAGAGTATACTCTTATTTCTATCGTTTTCTCTTTTTATTGTTATAGGATAAACTTCGATCGATATCACCTGGAATATATCCACCTTCGATGCACATGGGTCTGTTAACCAGTCCAACTAGAGGTGTGGTGAAGATCTGATAAATGTTTCAGCATAAATATTGAATTATTTTTCAGGCAATATGGGTGGTCCGATACTTAATCCACATCCAAATTTCCCATATACTCAACAGTGGCGTCCAAATTTGTTTCCATTTGGTTTGCCATTTGGCAATGGATCGCCTGGAAATCATAATTTACAACATCCTAATTTATTCGATGGAACAGAACGAAGGTAAATACATTTAAAAACTTCCATGAGAATAGACATATGATTCACGCCATTAATTTTAAAATCTAGTTTGAGATTGTCTCCGACGATCAATTTAGGCCGATTAATATCGACATATGAGAGACAGTGAATAAGATAATCGCGAGTATTCGAGATCAATTTCAATATCAAAAGAGTGATAGAATTTACTATTGAACGTGACTCCATTGATGAGATAAAGTTGAAATTCACTTGAACCGAAGACGACCTTCATCTTGTCATTTATCCTTGAAATAGCGTACAATAGTTACAAAATTTCATAGGACTTTCTCCTTATTAAAATGAAAATAATTTTAAGTGTCCTTGAATTTTATAGTAGTATAAATAATATTTCAGTTGAACAGTTATCCATTTATGTAGAACCTTTTGTTATATGTCTTTTTACTTTTCACTTCTAGTGTAAATGCGATATTAGATAATCAAAAGCCGAGAAAGCCCCATATTAAGAAGCCGCTAAATGCGTTCATGTTATTTATGAAAGAACAACGTCCACATGTCATTGCCGAATGTGTTTTGAAAGAAAGTTCACAAATTAATAAAGTTTTAGGACAAAAATGGAAACAATTGCCAAGAAGTGAACAAGATAAATATTATGAAATGGCCAAAGAAGAACGTATTCGACATATGAAAGAACATCCAGGATGGAGTGCACGTGACAATTATGGTATAAGAAAGAAGAGAACACAAAGTGGTCTATCACATAAAAAACCTCGAGAAAAGTTGGACACAGAAAATGGAGGTAAGAACTAGAATATTACTCTCTTTTAAAGTGTCTAACATCTCATCTAATTTAGATTGTGTTAATCAGAAAAAATGTCGCGCACGTTTTGGTTTGGAACAACAAGGACAGTGGTGTAAACATTGCAAGTATGTTAATAAAATCTTCATAGAAAAAAAAATTTAATAAATAAAAGTGTCTTAGATGAAAAAACTTTGTTGAAACTTATTTTTATCGATAATATCAATTGTAAGACAGGTTGAAGTTAGTTTTCTTTCTATTCACATTCTTTCATCCCGCGTAAACATACTGAAAAGGTAATTTTCTATGAAATTTGCTTAACCCGACTAACTATCTGATGATGTGATAACTATTCTTTATTACAGGCGAAAAAAGAAGTGTACACGTTTCACAGAGGAAGGTGGTGATGGTTTTAGTGGTAGTGGAAATTTAACGGGAGCTGAATCAAGTTTAGATGAAGATGATGATTTGAATGATAGAAGTAGAGACAGCAATGAAGAAAATAGGTATGTATTTTATCTCAATTACACAAATTCTTAAACGCTTTGATGTTGTGATTAGTATTTTGAACTAGTACCAATAAGTAATTTTAAGAATGTAATAAGAATAAATAAACAAAGACTAGTCAATCCTGTTTTTTTTTTCTATTTAAGACTGAATTTGACATTAACAAATAATCACAACGTTCATTCATCGAGAATTGAACGATCACCTCAAGGACATTCTCATCATCCTCAACATCGTCCGCACCATTTAGAAAACATTCGACCACCTCCACATCTGACATTACTACAGCAGCCGCAATTTTTTCATTGATTAAAATGGCTCTTTTTTGCTATGTTATTATTTTTTACTTATCAAATTCGAAATTTTTGTTGTTTTTTTGTATGAAGTCTTTTTTGTCGTCTTTGTTTTCTGGTTTATGAATAAATAATAACAATTATTTCTTATCGCACTTGAGAGCATAAGACTAAGACTAATCGGTCACCAATTATCGGTATGGTCTGAAAAATAAAGACAGTCATTTGTTTAGACAAGACAGTAGCATCTCGACAGACATGTGTATAAGAACCTGACGATCTACTTTAAAAATCTTGTTCCTGTCAAAAGACTTCTATCCATGAGCATTCTTTTTTGAAACGAATAGTAGTTTTAGCGCTTGATAAACAATGAAACACATCGCTTCATTTTGTTTCTTTATTACACTAGATATCTCATATGCGAAGATTTGTTCCACTCAATGCGTCGATAGAAAAGAATAGAGAACAGAAAAATATGCATATACGGAAAGAGATATCCTCTTCTTCCTACTTAACTGTTAGTTCTTCTACTATTAGTAATAGTCTTCCCATATCGCTCCTTTGCCTAGTTTTCAACCAAAACGTTCGTTTTTCGGCACTTATTGGGTGACATGAAACTAATGCCAAAATGATTTTGCGTTTCATTGGTTTCTTGTGTTTGTTAGATTAAAGGATGCATTGAGATTCTACGAGATACTCATTTATACTAAATCCTAAGTTTCTCAGCATCTTTTTATTACAATTAAATGAAAGTATCTGTTTTGTTGTCATGACTGTTGTAGAAACGTAATTCGCTATTTTATCTCTCCATAAAACATGGGAAAAGGCTGGTAGATATTCTATGAACGAGACAAATTAAAAGAGATAGAGTATTGTGGTTAAACATTCATTTAGTTAAGTAACAGAAAACACGTAGCACAAGATGAGATGCAATCAATAAATCTATAAATTTCCGTTTATTGTCAGTTTCTGCGTTTAAAATATTCCTACATATAGCGACACATGTCATTCCCGATAGATATAATGCAATAAGATGCAATGAAAAGTATAAATCACTTACATTCAGTAGTGCAACCAATGGTACGACAGTCTTGATACAAATTAACCGCATGTTTCTCTATTGAGAATAAGATGTTTGTTCTAAATCAAAACGTTAGTCTGAAATTGACATATTCTTTCATTGATTTTTTTAGAAAATTTTACAGGATATTTTGTTTCAGCGGAATTACAGATGTTTTTCTGGCATGCTTTAAAATACTATTTGTACAGAGAGAAAAGACTTTCTTTAAAGAATATTTTTGGTAATAGATGCTTAGTTGAGTGCCGTATTATAGAATAAACAATTCTCTACAAAATGGTATATTACACGATTTTGTATGATTTGAGGAAAGAACGCTATAAAGAACTTTTTGTTAGAATCTGTTAACCTTTAGCTGTCAAAAATATGTTCTGAAGTGTCTAGTGGAGCCAGTTTCCACAGAAATAACAACTCGAATTTTATGCTGCTAAAAGCTTCAAAGATATTTTAAAGATATACGAGATGCTATGAATACTCAAAAATTAGTAGAACGATGATCCAGAATGTTAGCATGTTGTTTTGTGAAGGATATGAAGGAATAGTGAAAAAACGCTGTTTGAACGCTGTCTGTGTCGGCAAAGTGTGGAGGTAACGGATTATGCAACTGTGAATCCGAAATGAAAAAATATCAAATTTTGTATTATTTCTTTTACTTTATCAAACTTACCTGAAAATCTTTTTGAGCTTACTCCGGTTTTTGAAACTACCCAGTGCCCCCCTGCTTTAACTTCTTCGCGTCCCCACTACTGTTAGTTTCAAGGAATGAAGATAAACTTCAAATTAAAATAGGATCAGGATAAGAAAAAGCGATTTTCTTCCTTGATATTTATGAACATGAAGTAGCTGTACCGTATTGAAACGTTTTATAACCAAGATCTTGGTAAGAAACGGAAGAAATTCAAGAACCCAAGATCTGGAACGTTTTTCTTTCTTGAGTTTTTGTACCGATATTTTGATAATTCTTGAACTACCGTTTTGTTTCTATTGGTTTCCTTACATATAACTGCAAAAAATTTTCATACTCAGAATAACTTCAAAAATTTTTCCTTTCCTAAACCCCATTGCATCTGTGTCCAAAGTTATCGAGACAATGAGCATTAGATAGCTTGTCCAAGACTATCACGGGACCGCCGTTGCCAGGATTCGAACTCTGTATGTACGAAATACGTTGTCTGCCCACTAGCCGACTGAGTCACGCTGCAAAAAGTTTCCATTAGAATACTTTGAAACATTTTTACTCAATTCACTCAAGATCTTGAAACTATCGAAAGTTTCAAATATTTATTTATTAATAATATAAGTGAGACATTAACATAGATCTCGATTCAATGAATAAAAATGATTTAAAAAAATCGAGGCTTCTTAATTGAGATCACTTTTTTTGGTAAAATGTGTAACATAAAAATTAACATCAAAAAAACATCACAGGCTGGGAAGCGCACAGTGAGAATGAGTGAAAAAATAGTGATCTGAATTAAGAATGAGCCAAAAACATAGATGAAAACAGATCATATTTTTGATCATCACATTAATTATCGTACAGTCTTCTGACTAAATGAACATAGAAGACAATTCATACTCTGTTCACATATGGAATTCTAGCATTAGATGTATCACAGACTGAAAACGCATATACTTTTCACAAGAAACACATAGCATGTATTATTCTAGATCTTGAATAAGTGTTGAAGTTATTGTTTTGACATCACCTGGTTTATTTGAATTTAATAGTGGTGATGGTGGTGGTTTTAGTGACTGTCTCAAATAATTATATTTTTTAGTCGAATCTTTTTTATTCATTAATCGACGTTTTTTCCATGGACCCCTCCACATCCAAAAGACGATAAGTATCTGATAAGAAAAATAAAGTGCTGAGAATACTACGAGTGTATAACGATCAATAATAACAAGGGCAAATTCAGCGGTGGTGTTCGATGCTACATTGCTGTCATTTGTACTCTTATAATAATTAATATAGCCAATTACTCCATGATAGATGTTCAACAAGCATAAAGCAAATATAGAACCAATCGCATAAATATCCACAGCAGTTAGATACGAAATTGTGCTAAAATTAAATTAGTTATAGGATGAAAATAGCGGTAATAAAATTTTAAGTACTTACGGTAGTGATTTATTTACTGTCCATCGAAATGTAACGGACGTTAAAAGTAATGTACATGCAACTTGTACACGTCCATGAGTACTGAAATAGATAACTTTGTAAAGACCTGTAAAACGTCACGTATCGTTCCTTGAACGTGAACGCTAAAGCACTGGTGAACGTGGCCTTTTTTTATACGAACGGTGTCCATATTGTATTGTGTGAAGTAAATATAAAATTCTGTTCTTGTACTGTAGTAAGAACATACATATTTCTGCTTGGTCTTATCTAATCAATAGAAAGTCTAGTGGATGTCACCATGATCTTCTCAGGGCAGTAACCAGATTATCGCAATGTAACAAGGATAGTCATTGATTCTCTGATCAAGACATTAATTCTTCCAAGAACAGATTGCCAATTCCCTGATCAGAAGACTAGTTCTTCCTGCAGTGGAACCGATGTTCCTTGGTCCAAACCATTTCAGTAACTACATACGTTTTCCTTTGTTATCGTAACCCATTTGGGACAAACGAGCGTTGATTTTTCAATAAATATAACTGGTAATGAAGAAATCTGTTTCATTTGGTATACTACTACGTGAAATCGCTATATAACGTTTTGCAATACTATTCATTCCACACAAGATTAATACCGTTCATATAAAATAAAGTTCACGTTCACCAGAACATTCTCATTCACATTCAAGGAATGCAAACGTACTTAGCGTTCACGTTCAAAGAGAACGCTAAAAAGGAACGCTGAAGTTTTGCAGGCCTACTTTGTAATACTATTCGGATATTTCATTTTTTAATATCCTTTCTTAACTTACTTTGTTATTGGAATGGCAAATGTACAAAAACTCGCCGATGTTATTAAAAACACAAGAAAATATAAATTCCAAAAAAAATAACCACATTTTCTTAAGAAAAAAGAAAGATGATTAATTATCAATATTATCTTCCTTTTATCGAACAATATACGTACCTTGCTACATGACAAGTGCATACAACAACGCCATGTTTAATTCGATCACCATTATCAGAAAATTCTTCAATTGGTTCTTGTATATGTATTTCACAATGTTCATACAAATACCATTCTTGTTCATCGGTAAATATTGTTCGAATAACACCACTAGGTTTATAATAATTTTGGAAAAATCTTAGCTCATCATCACGCCGAGTTGTTGTCATTGTTAAAGAAAGCTCTTGAACATCAGCGGGAAACTAGAATTAAAATAACAATGTATTCTTACGCGCACTTATCGTATTTTGTTATCTTAACTAACATGATACAATTCCATTCTTTCCCAAAATGTTCCTTTAATTCTATGATGTTCGGTAATTTCTGGAATATTTGTTCCGTCTTCGTAGATCGAATAGGATGTTTCATGTTTGACATCACCAATACTATTTAGAATAACTAGATTTGGATTCCAATGACCAACTGATGGATCATATGTTGTTTTATTCTTCAATTTAATATCATTCCAACTGGCTTCAAACAATATTTCACCATAATAACGCTCACTAAACATAGATATAATCACTATTTTGTTAAAGTTATCTGTATTTGTCGTTTTACTTAAGCGTATCAATTTCTCCTACTCGAAGAAAAATACATCTTGTTCGTATCTCTACAGCATTCAACGGTTTCAGTACCAACATTTGTACCGTAGGTGGTATCCATTTACCATTTTCGCTACTTTCGAGACGTGCTGATTCGGCGGTAGCCGGTGGTATTATCCATGATAAACGAGGGGCTTGATTATATTGTACAGTTGCTACGGATGGTGATGGTGACTGTTCTGTTGAACGTAAGTCCGTTATTTCTGTATGAATTCGACGAGATAGTAGTGGTGGAGGTTTTTTTTTCGATATGGCAGCTGAACTTTCTTGGCGTTCTACCGATCGACGATGTGAAGCAGAAATCGAATTTTTACGTGAAACGATTACGCCATTTCTGACTTGTTGAGATGTTCTAGCTGAAAAATGAAGTTTTCTATTATAAGAAAATCTAAATAGCTCACTCACTTCGCCTATTATTGACCGGGAGTACCGATGTTTGCATATTATAGACCAAAGAGATATTGCACATCTTCAGTCTTTTATAGTGTATAGAGCAGTAATGTCCGCTTTTACTTAAGATAAAACTTCTTCGGTTCTGTTCCTCATCCACTTAACAGACTAAGGGTGCCCAACTTCCTTTCGGATTTTGAGCTGAGCATAGCCTGATGTAGAGAAAAATGTAGGCTATAAAATGAGACGACTTCTAGTATTTCAAGATCTTTCTTCAAAAGTTATGCATTTTTGCAGTTTTTCCTTCAAAGCCTAAAAAACGCGAGTTTTTTGGTTTCATAAACTTTTCTCTCCTTTTCTGTATGTTACAGTGGAAATTACAATTTCAATCTCCACTGGATTCTTGTCAGTGGAAATTGATATTTTAAGTTCAACTAGTGGAGAATAAAATTTTAATCTCCACTATAGTGGGATTTTAAATTCCACTAGGCAAAAATGACTAACACTCATATTTCGATCTCCACTATAGTGGAAATTATAATTTGCTTGATATGTTGCTGACAGCAAAAGGAATACCCTTTTTTTATTGAAAATATTATTAACAATCACAAATATTTTTTTAACAGCATTAGGCATTTGAACACACACTTTTTTTGGGGGTGACATTATGTACAACATTTTACGCCTTTAGCTCAACATGGACAAAAGAAAGTGTGTGTGTGCCACTTGTGCCTTGTGTTGAAATTGTAATTTCCACTGTAACATACAGAAAAGGAGAGAAAAGTTTATGAAACCAAAAAAATCGCGTTTTTTAGGCTTTGAAGGAAAAACTGCAAAAATGCATAACTTTTGAAGAAAGATCTTGAAATACTAGAAGTATGACGATTACTGACTGTAGAACTATGGAAGTTTCTATCGAGTGCGTCATAATGATTAAATTCTGGGTGTAACAGTGCTTTGAGTAAAAGTCCCGTAACTTCAACAAAACAAACACTTTTTCGATCGGGTTTGTTTTGTTTTGATCAGGAATGATTGCTTTTCTATTACTAATTCTGAAATCAAAACATCGATCAGGTTTTCCGTTTCTTCCTTCGGCACATTCCTGAAAATGAGGAAAACTTTTTGAAACTTAGTTCTCCAGCCCACCATCTGCTCATAAAAAACATTTTTCATAGACCAGAGGAAACAGCATGTTCAGAAGTACAAAAAGAACTGAGTTCTCACTTTTGCTACACTCTATTGCTGAAGAAAAAAGTCAAATCGAAAACATACCAACTATACAAAGTTTTCATTTTTTTTGCCTTTCGTATAATTTACGTAGTTTCCTTGATTAAAATTCTAAAATTAAAGTTTAGGTATGGTTTTATAGAATATTTCGTGGCGCATCTTTTAAAAAACGCTAACCGCGAGATCCTGAACATACACGAGAAAAAAAGAAAATACTGAGAGGCCATTCATTATGATGCAATCGATAGAAACTTCCATAGTTCTACAGTCAGTAATCATCATACGGAATCTCAGTCATACACATCAATTCCATTTTAGATGAACATTAATTTGGTATATAATACATTTTTATATCATTTGTAGTTTCAGCTCTACCCCCCTGGAAAAATATTATTTCCAACTGTGTATTAGTAAAGATTTCAAATAATGTGAATTTGTAGAGAATTGAATGCAGTGTCAGGAAATGCTTTTTAGCAAAAGGAGGGAGTTGGTTCAGTATCCGAAAATTATTAATTAAATCTAATTAACATATGGTGCAAAAATATTGGTGTAAATGTCGAGCATTATTTCTCCATGTTCCCGATGTGCTAGAAAGTCAATCATTTTTCCGTTGGAAAGAGCAAAGTCTGAACTTCGTAAAACATAAAGAATAAATTTTACCCTGATTAAGTCTGAGTGAGAAAAAATCTAAATAGCAAGCGTCACCAAAAAAGCTCTTAAAACTTTCGCTCTCTTCCAACATATTTCCCTCATCAAGCATATTTTTTTCGTATAACAGAATATGTCATAAATTATGTAATTGTAGAAACTAGAAGTGTTTTTATCGCTCTTTTGAATAGAGGAGGAAATGGACGAAGTTCGAATTTTGCTCTTTCCAACGGAAAAATAATTGACTTTTCAACACATCGGGAACATGGAGAAATAATGCTCGCCATTTACACCAATACTTTTGCACTATATGTTAATTAGATTTAATTAATAAATTTTCAGATTGTCAAAAATGTCTTATTACATAATTTAATTTGGATGTGATGATTACACCCATAAAAAGTTATTCAAGGAATTTAATTGATTTATTTTAGTATAAAAATTTTTAATGAAAAAAAACAGACTCATTATCATTATTTTTTGACTAGCTAAGCCAATCGTGTTCAAATTATTTTTTCTTACTATTTTTGTTATAGACATATTTCCGTGTATAGGATTTACTTTCCATTGATTTCGAAAAGTTATACAATTAATTAATTAATTAATCATTCGCTTAATTCTATTGCTAGTTCTTCCCACAGAGAATCTGAGTAATACTCAAAGTGTTTGAGTAAATTCAAGTAGTTATCAGGGTGTCTTAATCACGTGTAGACGGAGTTTACATTATCTTAAAACGAATTTACAGTCTTAATTTCCTGTTAAGAATAGGCAAGAAGAATTTATGTTTAAAAAACTATCTCCGTTACTTACATCGAACGATTTGAATAGCACAGCAAGTCCCTAGTAGAGGTCACGGAAGTTTTCACACATTTTTTGCTCCACAGGAGCACCACTAACAAGCTTTTTTAACGAAATGTAGTAGGCTATAGGTAATCGACAATGCTGATTTCGAATATAATATTCATTTGAGCCGATAAGTCTTTCTTTGCCAGTTTCCAGAAAAACAGTTTTCCAGAAATCTCGAAAAAAACCCAAAACTTTTTCTAAATAAGTCACAGTTGTAGTCCACGAAATTTCGATCAGAATGAGACATCTCCTAGCTCTACACAATCTTTCTTTGCAAAGTTATAGAGTTTATAAGAAAAGCCCTAAATTGTCACTTTAGAGTTACAGAAAGAAAAGAGGAGAAAGAGGAGTTTTAAGTCATGATGAATTACTCCGACGGACTAAACTAACCTAGCTCGAAAAGAGAAGATTGAATAGAACAAGCACAGCTAGTTCTGAGTAAAAAATCATGATCGCAGAAGAAGAATAACCATTTATTTCACCTTTATTTCTTTATTTTTTGGAATTATATTAGCAGTTTAGGTATTTTCAATCACAAACATCTTCTAAATAAAGTAACATACGATGTAATGGTGTAAATGTCATGCCATGTCATTTCAGTTTTCAACCGATAATGGATATCGATTAAAACCGAAATAGAAAGCGAACGATGTCTGGTTAACCGATACAAAATTAGATGAAAATACAGTTAATCATTCAGTCATCGACGCTTGATATCTATAGTCTTTTGCATTACGTTTTAGGTCAAGACTAAAATCATAACATACGGTGCAAAAGTAACGGTGTACATGTCATGCCGTATTTCTCATCGACGGAGGATCGAATCACTTTGAAGTTTATTTGTTTGAAAGAGTAAAGTCTAGAGAACAAATTTGACTGACAAATAATTTTTTATTTATCCAATCTGAACAGTAAAACAACATTCTTTCGATTGCCCTCGAAAAGATCTTGCAACGTAAGATGCACCCAGGGCAGCCTTGCAGTGAAATTTATTTTTCGACACTTCATACACCATTCGATAGAGAATTTCGCGGTGATCACGAATATCACTTCCAAGGCTCTCAGAACCCTTTCCTCACTGA